AAGCAAGAAAATGTATCAAATTTTATAAGAAAGCGCCGCTGGAATTACGTCGGCCATGCACTCAGAATGGATAAGTCAAGACTCCCCCATCGAGCCCTCATATGGTCACCGGAAGGGGAAAGATAACGGGGAAGACTAAGAGAGACTGCGTGGAACCGTCATCAGGGAAGACTCAACTATGGGCCTAATAAATATCCAAGACCTAAATCAGGTGGCTACGAACCACCAGACATGGAGAGCTATGACCTCTGCCCTATGCGCCGCCTTAGGCTCAAGAGGAAAGACTAACTAACTAACGCAAAAATGTGCGTCCGAATCGTGTACCTAGTACATTTTTGGACGAAAATGTTGGTGCACCGCTGGTGATCCAGAGACCATTGATTAACACGACCCAGAGGATATGGCAAAATGTGTGTATGCTGAAGTTCTATCTGAAGAATTGAATGCAAGTAATGGCATATTTCTCTTATACATTACCGGGTCCATAAAGAAAGCAATAAATATTAACGTAGTAATCTACTGAGCATTTCATGAGAGGCGACAACAAAAGGTTTAATTGAGATTGTCTGCTTTCATACAGCAAACACTTTTAACTGCAAAATGGGGGGGGGGGGGGGGGGGGGGGTGTCTGCGTGGTCTCGATGTATGGTGTCCTCCTCGAGTGCTAGAGGTTCCAGGTTCTATTTCTGGTAGAGGCTGGGATTTTTTCATATAGACTTGGACTTCTACTAATTTCCCGTGGTCTCTGCGTAGTGAGATCGGACGCCCGTGTACATTGCGCACATAAAAAATCCCTTGGCAGTTGGAAATTGAAAAGAGTAGCCTAACGGCGCTGCCCGGGCAAAATTTGGAGTTAAAAATCTACCCAAAGTATTTCAGGATCCTCGCCAGTGCTACAGAGCCTGTGCACTGTGCTGAGCTTTTTCCTACTCAGACTTCAGTTAGAAGAAGAACGGAGCACTTATGGGTTCCACCCGTGTGCCATGATGTTGATCCGTTGTTAAAAACCTCAAACCTTTTAACTGCAAAATGCAGTCATTCCTGAACTAACACGTATACAAATGGCTTGGCATGAACTGTCGAAAGCCATACTTCATTGGAAATTGATGACAGACACGAGCTATCGAAACGATGAGTGCATAACTTCCATCCCTGAAAATGGCAAGAAACATGGGCAAGAAGAAGCGGAGGCAGAGCTCCATGGATCTCGAATTCAAGAAGTTTACAAGGCGGGAAATCAAAGCTAATTTAAGAAATTGATACGTCTGATAAAAGCAAGTTATTACCCCCAGAGTTGAGGCTCTAAACTGTACTCGAAATATCAGAATAAACATTTGCAAATGAAGATGGGGAAAGAACTACAAAAATGTAAATCGTGTGATTTGTTCGCAGGATTTCTACCAAAGTACAAGATACACAACGTGGTACTTTTGCACATGCAGACTTGTAGTCATACAGTCAGCTCACTTATAGAAATAATACTACTCACTTGTGGGGTCCAGGGCTCAATTTTATGGTGGGGGTGGGGGTCGGGGAGAATAGTCAAGCTGTCCCAGGCATGTTAAGGGAGTTGCGTTAATTCGAGTCAAAAACTGACATCACAGCACTCGAGGCATTCCCGTCCCAAACTTCAGCAGCCAGCACAGTGTACCAATACTAATGGGCCGGTCGTAGTCTGGTTATATGTCCGTCTTGTCTTTCCTCTGAGTGTAGTGAGCCGGCCAGACCCTCTGGTCACACCCAGGTGCACAATTTTCTCCAGGTCATAATAATCCAGTTTCTTTTCTGACTTCGTTACTTTTTCCCAAAGGGCCCTGGCCATATCTACCTTGTCATACGTCAATACACTAACTAGTGGTGCAGATACAGCCAATATGTCTGCCTGTTAATTCCCCACCACGCCGACATAGCCTGGAGAAAAAATCCACAGCAAGCTCACTACCCGTGACCTTCCATGTGAAACTTGTCACTCTGCTCGAACCAACCCTGTCTTCATCTTTCTCAGCATGCTCTCAGAGTCTGTTACGATTACATGTGTATGCATCTTGTTCTCTAGCCACCGGAGAGCTGCAGTTACCGCCTTCACCCATTCTCATGCTAGACGTTGTATCATATGCTAGGATGTTCTGCGCCAAAGATTGCGCTACGATCGCCCCCTCAACACAGAACCATCTGTATAAGAATAGGATTCGAGCCCGGGTCTCCCGCATGAGATAATTGGACTCTCGGCCGTTCAGCCTGGCGGCATTTCTTTGTTGTTGCTGTTGTAAGGAAGATAATTATAGTCTAGTTAAACTGGAACCCGTGTGGGTTCCGGGGCCCTGTTATAGGGAGAACAAGAATAGACCCACTGCCTACCCAAAATGATGAAAATTTGGGGGTGACTGCAGTCAAGCTAATACAAGGAATTCCAGGGAAATTTGACTAAAAAGCTTGACCAAATGGGAAAGCAGCAAAACGTGCACAAAACAACACAAGTAACGTAACGTTTCGGCCGGGCAGCCTTTGTCAAACATTAAGTGAACTACACAAAGGTAACAACGAGGAGAGGAGAGTATACATATCTCTAAGGGGTGACGTGAGCAACGTTTTAAAAAATGTGGTGTGGAATAAATGAAATAAAATCAACGATGGCTAAAAAAAATATACGCGCAAAAAAAAAAAAAAAAAAAAAAAAAAATTAATATTGTTAATATATAATATAATAGTGGGAATAAAAGAAATACAATGTTAATGATACATAAATGATACTGATAGGAGAAAGAATAAAGTAATAATATAAAATAAAAGAAAAGAAAATAATTAACATTCAAAATTTTAAAAGAGTAAAACTGTTTGGATGAAGGTATGTTGGATATCGAAACCACCTGGACTAAGAACGCCTGGGCTGTGGATGAGGCGATTTTCCAAAGCGAGGTGCGTAGTATGATCGCCAGAGCAAGATTTTAATGCTGTGACGAATATATCATCTTTACCTGGTCAGAGCTACTAAAATAAAGAGGGGTTGGTTTAAGTGTCTTTTTTTCAATAATGGAGAGGTGTTCCGGAAAACGATCAGCTAGCTACCTGCCAGTTTCCCCAATGTATGCCTTGCTGCATAAATTACGTTGCGGGATTCGCAAGTAAACGGTTCCCTAATTTGGAAAGAACCATTAGGGAAACTGACCGAAGAAGTCTGGACAACGAAAGGACATGTCTTGCACGTGCTGCGGAAGCTTTCAGTAGTCCTAAAAAAAAAAAAAAACTTTTTAAAAGGTTGTCCACGTCACCCCTTAGAGATCTGTATACTCTCCTCTCCTCGTTGTTACCTTTGTGTAGTTCACTTCATGTTTGACAAAGGCTTCCCCGCTGAAACGCTACGTTATTTGTGTTGTAGTTTTTTTTTGCCCATTTTTCTGCTTCCCCATTTGGTTAAGCTTTGTAGTCAAATTTCCCTGAAATTGGCTACCCAAAAGCATGTCCTAAAAGTCAACAAATTGGGAGCTTCCTTCAAAGTCGGAGTGCATTTGCCTGAGAGACAAGGAACCAGCAGTCTGAGTAAAAATGAGTCAGATCTGTAAAACGGATACACACGCAACACTCAGTTTCTGGAACAGGACTGCAATTCAGAAGTGGATAAAGAACCATAACTTTCTGCAGAGTTTATAGCTGGTGAACGCGAAGAAGAAGACCAAGAAGAAGGATTTGCTAGGCGCATATATAGCAATTTAGCTGTTAATTAAAATAAGGTAATGAATAAGTATAGAAGTAAAAAAAAAAAAAAAGGTAGAGAATAACTACTTTTTAAAATAATATCCAGTCATTTGAGATAGTTTGCTTATAAGTGAGCAGGTTTGTTAGTTGCGTATCCTTTACAGGATATTGCAGAACCAACCCCAGCATTTTTTGGCTGTTGTGATTTTTCTAGGCAAATTTACATCCAATAGTTTGCCATTGCCACTGGACGGTCGGCTTTTCGATACCACTGTCGAAACCAACTCAAGGCCCGCAGCTGGGATTGAACCCGGCACCCCGGCATTACGAAGCCCGTTCACAACGCCTTAGCCACAGACGCCGACATAGTGAGCAGGTCAAGCTAGATATTGTCAAGGCTCTTTGGGAGGGAGTGAAGGGCGCGGAGGCAGACTTAGATTATCGTAGTCTGAATATAATGGTACAACGGGGTGTGACTAATGGATCTGGCCGATACTCCACACTAGGAGGAAATGCATGACGGACTTATAAGCAGAATATTACTGGTACAGTCCTAATTGGAACTCTTTGCTGGCTGTTGAAGGTAGGGACAGAGCGCTAATGGGAATGACATGAGGGCTATGATGTCGGTTCTTAAAACTCACTCAACTAATTTCGTGTTTTGCATAGGTAAAAAAGTGAATTAAAAAATGTAGGGGAAAAAAAAATAAAACGGGTATTAAGAGCGGCAAAATGAAAGCTGAATAAAAGAGCATGATAAGAAAGAAGGGAAAAGTGACAGGAGATGAACATAAAGAAGAAAGGAGGAAGACCGAAGGAAATAATGAGTTACTATATAGGATACAAGAGCACGTAGTCTGAGATGTTAAAACAATTAAAAATAACAAGCAGTGATGAAATAAATTATCTTGCACGTACACTGTAAAGTAAATACATTATATTGGGTAAATTCTTTCTGCTATACTATGAATTCCTTCAAATTCAGTTGATATTAACATAATGTGTTCTGCATTTACAATAATTTGAAATCAACGTTATTACGTAAGGTAATCTAAAAGAAACAAGACTACTTACAAATCCCAAAACAACTAACTTTACTCAATGATAACTACCCTTTTAAATATGTTGTACCCTTGTGGGTTGCAATGTTTCGTTATTTTGAAACCCCACCCTGGCTGTTGCCGGGGACCCTAATATAACGATTAAACAGCGTTTTCTGGACCTCTTCACGGGTGATACTCATCATTATGGTGACACTTTGTGTCACCGGAAGTTAATCGCTCTGCGTGATGCCTAGTGGGTAACATTCACTTACTTACCAACTCCTCTTTAGTTGTTTTGCTGCTTGTGACTGACTTTCCTGTCCTACAGAATGCTTTCAGAAATGTTGATCTGAATTTTGAACTCAGTCGTAGGTAGATAAATAGATTAATACTGGCATTAATTGACTCCAGGTTGAACAAGACAGAATATACAGCATACAGCAGATTCCTGTGCTTGCCATCAAATCTCATCTCTGTATCCACTATCAACCAGATAAACCCAGCCGTTCCGGGGAAATAACAAACCACGAATATCACTGATATCAAAGTTACCATCTTCACAACTTTTCTGTCCCTTGAAGACATTACGCTGCTACTTGAAGAAACGCTGGCTTGCAAGCGCCATTGCGATTTCTTCTGTAAATTCACTACAAGCAGCACAGTACAGACAATAACGAGAAAGAAAGCAACCGTTGGAATCAGGTTGCTTGAAGCGAAGGTTATAGTTTCTATCTTGTTGCGATTGTCTATGAATGTGACTCCCAGAATGGTTGCATTCCTCAGTGGACTGAATATCCAAGTGAGTCGTGCTGTGTATAGCATGGGGCTAACGAGAGCTAGCATAACTGCGAACACAGTCACCATACAGACCAATGTCCTTGCTGGTGAGAAGATGTTCTTGACTTTCAGTGGAGCAGCAACACAAATGCACCTTTCTAAGGTGATGTAAGCAGTTATCAAAGTTGTGACTCTGGTGAACATGACGTGAATCCACACTAGAAGGTACAACAGATCATCGCACGCAAACGGAAGATCCAACATATTAAAGGTAGGTATTATAAAGATGCTGGCAAACGTTAGGGGTATCTGAGAACACAAATCTGAAATTGCCAGAGCCAGCAGGCTAATGTTAACAGTATCTTGAACACCCTGTTTGAGGAAAGTAAAGATGTTAAGGAGATTAGTGAGGACGCCAAAGATGCTCACCGGCAGACCGCCACCCCACATGTTGATCAGCATAAAATAATACAGAGCCTCGTAGGATACAGGATCGGGATCATCAGTATATGTGTTTTGATCGACAAAAATGTCGTCACTGTTATTCGTGTCAATAGACAGAGAATAGTGAGAGGACGTGTCGAGAACTTTCTTGTCAGTTGTTGTTAATACAGACATTACTTTTGAGGTCGATTCCATTTTTGAGTTATCAGAAAAGTTAGTTTCACAGCAGTTGAACAACAGAATTAATTTTTTTTTTAATTGGCACGCCTGTTTGCGATTTCTCGTATTTGCCTCCTGTTGTAATTAGTTTTGTGTTTGAGCTGTAACAAAAATATGCATAAACGTTTATTTAGTGAAAGTCGCTGTTTCTATATATGGAACATACTGGAACACAATATTAAGCCTTTATGATGATGCTATAACATATTTAATGGGTGATGAGGTCAGTATCACAAGCACTTTTTGTATTGCTAGCCACAGAAGATCACACTGGCATCACATCGGCTCCCCAGTGGAAAGTACAATTTCGAGAACACAACCACAAACGAATTATTTCTACAGGGACCAATCACACAAATCCCTTTAATAACCACCTTGTCGGCCTGCATATGTATACTCTGCCTAATAGTAAAAAGTACAGTTGCATATGGTACGTTATATGTGCACACACTTGTCATGATTGCAACTGGCTCACAGAGCATGTTTAGACAGGTCGAGACAGGTATGCTCTGTACAATGTGGCAAACATCGCTTCAGATGCCCCGGGTAGTTAGTATCCTTTGGTTACTATCCGTGGTATGCAAGTGCGTTAGGAAAAAAACAGGCAGACACATTGACTGGTTCTGTACCATCTGGTGGTAAATTGTCACATGTCAAGCTAAATGTTGCCAGGTCTCTTTGAGAGTGAGTTAACAGTGCATCACAGTCTGAGGAGAAGAATGGTGAGTGACCAGGATATCCGACTGACACTCAACACTCCAGGGAAAAGGTGGACGTATATACAGCCAGACTGCTACTGGTACCTTGGGAACTGGAACTTTGCAGTTACTGCGATAGAGTAGGACGGAGCGCTTATGGGAATATCACGAATGCTATGATGTCGGTCTCTAACTTACTTCAACTCAACACACGGTACGTTGTTTTGTGCACTGGAAGATCGACCATTAACGCCTGATTAATAACTTGAGACAATGATAAGTTAGTTGATGCGCATGCAAGAAAACTCACCAATCGTACCTGCCATCTTGACTGGTACAACTGAAGATTCAAAAATTAAACAAGACACGTTGAATGGTAAAAAAAAAAGACTGATCATCACACACGACTAATTATCGGTACACATGCGTGATAAATGACCAGTCAACCACGACACGTCGAATTGGTCACATGAAAGGTGACCAAACAATCAACGACTCTTTCACTGGTGCTCATCAAGATTGACCACACATAGCTGGTGTTTTACTACGAGTGTCTAGTTTTATTAATCTGGGTAGATCTCACAACCATGTGGTGAGTTTTAAAAAAGTGTTTTGACCTCAGGGTGAATTTAGCTTGATTGCGTGGTTTATGAGCGGCACGGGCCAAGCAAATGAGAACTCTAGGTTCTCAATTGGGAGACCTAGGTCCAAATCTTCGATGAAGTGTTGATGTTTTTCCTGTCAGGAGCAAAAAAGAAAACCCTAGGGTGCACAGTCCGTGGTGACAGCACAGCTATGTGGCTCCAGAACCTCAGGTTCAAGATTACACAGCCCAGCATAGCTCTAAATACAAGAAGTAACAAACCTTTAAAGACTGCAGTTTCAGAAGGTAAGTGCACTACCACATCTCTACTAGTAATCGGAAATGATATTGATTATCAAACAGTTTGTCCCTAAACCTCTTGCAGAGATAGAGACGTGTCGAAGCAAGGAAATACTAATATGAACATACATTTACAATGTCTCCTTTCAATTCGTAAACAATATATTTTTAGATTATGACATGTTTATAAAGGTCTGTGGGTTCTAAATATCCAGTATTAGCGCAAGCTCTGGTTTTAATCTCGTCATGGCATGATTTTACTGGCAAGTACGCTCCATTATAATTAGTGATGCTTTAATCAATAACAAGTATGCAATACCGGTAATATATATATATATATATATATATATATATATATATATATATATATATATATATATATATATAAATATATATATATATATATATATATATATATATATATATATATATATATATATATATATATATATATATATATATATATAATAAATATATTTTTTCTACGTTTTCTCCAGAATAATGTACTCTTTACTTTCAATTACTGCATGAGATTTGTTGTTTTGTCGATTGTAAATTTCCTTTCGTAGAGAAAAGGCTGCACCAAAAATGATTGAGTCCCGAGGTATAACAAATGTACATTATTGTTAATATTAGACATTTATTTACATTTTGAATCATACACATTCACAAAGTGGCCTGTTGCCAGTATATGGCATTTTTTTTTTTTAGCCAGAAGTACCCTGTTATCAGTCTTGCAATGATTCCTACTCACTTGCCAACTGTTGTGCATTATTATTGTTGCGTTGGCTGTATCGTGATGTCAACTGATTCCAGTTTTCTTGCTGAAAATTATTTTAACTATTATTTATTCAGTTGTTCATAAAGAAATTATTAGGCTGTTAGTATTTTGTCTGTATAGTCGATAAATAAATATTTTAATTAAAGAGGTTACATTATTTTTACTGTTACATTCATAGAAAACCGGTGCATTGTTTAACTATATGTTCCAATAGTTTTTACGAAGAAAGACCACTTGACAAGCACAACTAAATGCACACCCCCCCCCCCTCTCCTCTCTCCCGCCAGGGGCAAAAAGGCAAAACAAATTAAAATGATGAATTAACTCGATTTATTTACCAACATTGACAACGGGTCAAAAAGTTGAACAAATCCATCACTCAAACCCCCCGAAAAGCGCAAGAGAAATACAGAAAACCAGTGAGACAACAATAGTAGAAGAAGAAAACCACGGGTACCAACAGATGTTGAGAGAAACCAGCTTTCATCATGTCCTGCTACCAGTAACCAGAAGTCGAACTATTCTCAAATTACGAATACAACACTTAACACTATACAGGGACCACTAGAAGTTGAATGTTAGCCTGGCGCTACACATCTCAGAGTACCGTCACTCTATACAGATACATCTCTTATTTTGTCTGATAATGGTCGGGACAGGGATTTGTGTTATCCCAAAGTCTGAGAATTGCATGGACTGAATATCAATATAAGAATTTTTTTATTTTTTTTAATATGAGATATGTTAATGACGCAGTGAAACTAGCAGAAAGTTAGCAGGGGTTACAGGACCAGTGGATCATTGAAAAGGCAGACTGCAGAATAGTTTTTGTATTAAAAAGGGAAAATTCGAGGGAAAATTCGAAGGCGACAGAGCAAGAGGTAGACACTGATACAAGTGGAAGACAACATCAAGAGATAGACGAACAGCAGTAAAAGAGAGTGTACTATTAAAGCAAGAGAAGAATGAGTTGGAGATCAATCGCTTACAGCTTTCATTGCGGAGGGGGCAACTGATTGATTAACTGATTCTCGTGTCTTGTTTTCTTACTAGTTGGTATGACGGGGCTGTTAACCAATACGTTGTTGTTGTTGTTCTTCTTCTTCTTCTTCTTCTTCTTCTTCTTCTCCTTCTCCTCCTCCTCCTTCTTCTTCTCCTCCTCCTCCTTCTTCTTCTTCTTCTTCTTCTTCTTCTTCTCCTCCTCCTTCTTCTTCTTCGTCTTCTTCGTCTTCTTCTTCTTCTTCTTCTTCTTCTTCTTCTTCTCCTCCTTCTTCTCCTCCTCCTCCTCCTCCTCCTCCTCCTCCATAGTTATTATCATGTATTCTGTCTTATCTCGATTGATAACTAGTCCCATTTTCTGAACTGATTTTTTAAGAGAGTATGTGTTTTAACAGTCTATAGTTCATTCTCTCCAACGACATTATTGCCATCAGCATATCCAAGTATTCTTTTAGATTATCCTATAATACACTTTTGTTTCAATGTCCTTATAATTTTCTCCAGGGTTAAGCTGAAAATATTTTGGGATAGAACATCTCCTTACTTTAAACCAGATGTTATCTGAAAAGGGTCTGACTTTCTGCCTTTATATATTACTATGTTACTAATACCATGCTCACCTAAAATGTATACTAAAAACACAGAGATTAGTTAGTTAGTTGCGTATCCTTTACAGGACGTTGCAGAACCAACCCTAACAGCCCCTGGCTGTTGTGTGGTTTCTCTAGGCAATTTACATCCAGTAGTTTGCCATTGCTTGCTGGACGGTCGGCTTTCTTGATATCACTGTCGAAACCAACGCAAGGCGCATTGCCCGTAGCTGGGATCGAACCTGGCATCCCGGCATTACGAAGCGAAGCGTTCGCATCGACTTAGCCACAGAGCCGACACACAGAGATTACAGCTGGTTATAACTGTTTTTGAGGACTGCAAACCACCAACCCCAGCATCCGTTGGCTGTCTGCAGTCTCCCCCCTCCCCCCACCCCACCTTCACTAGTTTGCCATTGTTTTACTAAACGGTGGAGACCTCATATCCTCATATCCTTGCTGAAATCACAGCACCCCCACCTTTATTCCCGACCCGCTGCCTGTCATGTGTCCAGGCCTGTGTGATTTCAAGAGTCCGATCCTTGTTGGTAAACCAGCAGAAAAAAACTTAAAGACATCCCGATGAACATATAAGGAGACTGTATCAGCGGAGTAGTGTCCTTCAGTCATGCTCTGATTAGGTTTGCTATATCGTAAGCAACACTAAAGTACTACGGATATTAAACGACAGCCACGGGTGACCTTTACGACCTTTGAGCTCCATCTCTCTGAGTACTTTGTACGTGTAGCTTGAGATGGTTACACGAATGACTCGTAATTGTGTGTTTTGTTTCTGCAGGAAATATAAAACTGCAGCGGCAATAATCGCGTTTCATTCATCATCATTATGTAGCAGGTCCTTTGCAGAACGTAGCTTTCATCACAGTTTGTCTGAAAGAAACTTGGTTATTCGCCAGCTCTCTTACCTCGTGTAGTTTCTTATCAAGGAATCACTTATATCCTGTGCCCATCGTCGTACTGGTCGGCCCCTGCCCCTCTGCCCTGGTACCATGCCTTTCGCTTAT